TTAGTATATCAAAACTTACCCTGTTTTACATGAGAAGATGATGGATGCACCAAATAATATGTCAGTTGTTATATTAACATAACCATTTATTACTTCTCCAGGATTAGGACATGATGTTTCTAGAAAATAATATGAATTGTTTTTTCATTAAAGTATCAGGCACATCTATACAAATTCATCATCTGAATCACTGATAATCTCTTATTCTTAGGCTTTCTAAGTTCTACATGCATTCGATAAGTTTCAAAAAAAGGAACATATATAGAATATATACTTATTTCATTTAAGGTTAGCCTTAAACTAATTAAATGTGAAATCTGTGAGTCAATTAATATTTCTATCTCAAAAGTATTTAGTTTGCCTAGTTTAAAATAAAATGACTCTAATGGTTCTTTTAAAGATCATTCTAACGAGAATATGTATACATAGACTTCTAACACGAATGAAAAAATACTATTTCCTCAAACACCATAGGATTAAGAATACTCTTCAAACTTATACTCACTTTCACAAAATTCATCTGGTTTGGACCACTTAAAATTCTGAAGGCAAGTTACTTTTCCTGACAGGGAATGATTCCTTCTGTAGCCCCTACGGCACTCATATTCCACAACGGAACCCGCTGGGAAATAATTCTGTTGGTTATAAGGCCGTTTGAGAGCTGCAAAGAGTAACCTGGTTGGAACATCACAGCTACCTAAAAGTATTAACAAAAGAAACAACAACAAAAAATATCATTTTATAATTTGTATTTAATTACTTGGAATTATCTGGTCCTTATATTACTCCTTTTTCTGTATTTCATTGTACATATTTGGTACTTAACTATATTAATATCACTATGGCATTTATAGTGTATCAAGTATGTTCATATATATGCTTTCATTTCCTAATTATTAGAGGCCTGTGAAATAGATTTGGTACACAGATGTCACTGTGCCCACAGTTCGGAAAATATAACCCATTTAAGTTGCCTGGCACAGTTCTGGCCGCTGACTCAACAAATATCCATTCTCTTACCCGCCCCATGCAGCACCGCAGCAGATGAGAACCGATATTTCCAGATTCCTGGGCTAACGTCCTGGACAACAACCATAACAGTAACAATACTAGCTAATAGTTATTGAATATTTCTAAATGTTTTACACATATAAATTCATT